TATATATAATTTTATTCTTATTTTTAAATTTTTATTTTTCTCTTATATATTATATATAAATTCTGAATTTAAATTCTTTAGAATTAATATATTCACAATTTAAGTGCAAGTAACTACAATTTAGTTTTATTCTCGCTGATGAAAGGATACGAAATATTCGTGAAATTGAAATTATTGTAATTTGTAATTATATGTAGATCGAATTTAATTAATTCACCAATCACGTGCCACTCTTCTTTCAGTTTTTCGATCGTTATTCAGCGGCGAAGGCGGGATGGAATGTCCTTCTTGAAGACCAATATCTCGGCAATGACTCATTTCGGGGGAAGAAGTTTGATAAATGCTTTCCTTTAAGAAAGAAAAGAGATACGACCGCGGTTTGACTAGTTTTTTCGACACAATTTTTGGTGAGTCGGCCTAACCGACTTGCTCTAATTAAACGACGCGAATGATATTAGAATAGAGGGATATTTGGGGGGAAGGGAAAAAAGAGAATACGATCGATTGAGAAATTGAAGTAGGTAGACTAATCTCTCGCAAATACGAACCCAGAAAAAAGGTTTTTTTGTAAGAGAGAATCTTTGGGGTTCTTATATGTGTGACCTTGAGGAGAAATATATTACGAGAAGAGAGGGAGAGAGAGTAAACGGAAGGGGTCGATTCCTTGGACAGATTAAGCGCATGCATGCGAGACTGCTTCGTTTACTAGCTCGTGAGCTTTTTAAAGGTTGAAGGGCCCGCTCGCGAAATTAATTCCGTTGATACATATTGATATTCACATATAGACAAACCCGTTGCTTTATTACAGTATAACAATCTAATAACAATGTTTATCTCTGACATTATATACATATATGTATATGGTCAAATATATACGAAAAATAAAAAAAAACATTTTAGGAAGTTCTTGAATTTTATACATATAAAATTTAAATGTATAGAAGAATCTCTGCATGTAGGTGTGAAGAACCAGCTGTGATATAATATATTGCATGTATTCAAATACGCATACATACATAAATTTATATTTTAATTTAATATAAGAATTAAAATGAAATAAGAAAGTAAATATTTCTTAATTTAGCAGTAAAGAAAATTAAATAGGAATGACATTTTATTTAATAAGACTCGATCGCTTTAAAATTTACCTAAAATATAGTTGTTAAATAAAAATTATACAATAATTATGTTAATTAATTAATATAATTATCTTGTAGTATATTTTGAAAAATTGATCTCGATTTTATTGTTAATGCGGTCACGTAAAAACAAAAATATGCGAATTGTAGAAACAAGATGCAAGAAAAGATCCTACTGAATCCAACTCACGTTTAATTTTTTGGGAATTATGCATTCTGTCGCTTTGCCTCTTGTGGAATAAGAATACGTTTGTGAATATTCCAATTTTACTCCAATTAAACGTCTAAAAAATATTTGAATACTAACACTGTGCTACGTATTCTTTATTCAGATCTTTTATTTTTTTTTTTTAACTACATTTTTAAATAAAAGAATTTTAATAATTCTTTTTGTTTTTAAAAATATATTTTCTTCTTTTTTAAATTTTCTTTCTTTCTTTTTAAATATACTTTTTTTAGATTTTCTACTCGATGATGTTTTATAATGCTTCTAAATCCGAAACTTGTATATTATAATTTAATTTTGCTTATAACTATTCAATGAATCTACATAATTTTCCAAATATTCAAAGAGATGAATGTAACTGGCGAACTTTTCAGGATTTTCATGAATTTCCTTAATAACGAAAATGTAATGAATCAGATACATAAAACGCGCTGTTAATGATAAAATTAAAACAAGATATATAATGACGGTTTTTCGCTGTGATTAATTTGGACCGCGAATATTTTGCTAGTATTTCGCGTTCGCGACGAGATGTAACGAGATATTAAGTCGGTCACGTACAGGCACGATCAGCCTTGACGTGCATAAAAGTGGCCTTTACACTGGCAATAAATATTGAAATCGTATCGATCTCGCTTGTGAATCAACCGTTCTTGCACTCTGGCATCGTTGACAAATGCAATACATCAACATTATCGCCACTAATAAAATTTTACTTGCATTGTAACTTGAAGTTATATATTTCGATTTATATGAGTATATCTCGGTTTTTATTCTTGCTGGTAAAAATCAACAGCAAAATAACATTGTTTTTTATTTTTCTTTATATTTTTTATTATATTATAGTTATTTAAAATAATTTTAATATAAAAGAATATTTCTCTCAGAACAGGTATTGCTTCTTCAGACTTCTACAGTTGCAATCGTCAAATTTTCCTTTGAGTAACATTTATTAACCGCTGATTTTATCGTATGAAAAATTATTAATCATCTCTATTATAAATCATAGAATTCAATTCTACCGTAAACCATGCGCAATTGTCAGAAATTCTCAGGAATCTGATTGTCACGTTGGCACGTTCGACAAATTCCGCTCGTTCAAGTGATCGCGCTGCCGCGAATT